CTTATTAACTGTAAACTATCTTACTGAACCTTGCTGTGGCATCAGTAGAGGGCTACGCCTTGCACATGACCGCAAAATAAGTTAGTTATTGTTAGATATATATGTTTGATGAAAGACAGTGGCCACGATTCATCACTTTCACCACGAAGCAAAAGTGATCCGAAATGCAAACATCCTGGTCAAGGATTCCAGACTGCACTGTAATGAACTGTATGAAATCAGCAGCCGCCCAAAGGGGGCTTAAGATAGACAAATCCGACCCTCTTGGAAGACCATTATGAAGCAAAGCAAACATCCTCGTCGCGGAAGAGACTCGGAACTTATTACTTCCATCCTGACGAGCAACTTGCCACATGAAGACCCGTCACAAGCCATTCAAACATTTCAAATCCATCGGGAGAAATCGGTGGGTTTCTCCACGATTACATTCCCATGTGGTTCGTTACCCATCCAGTAAACAATGACCACATCACAATGTGGGTGTAATCACGACAGCGGAATGTTGACACTCCGTTTCCACAACGGGCTGGAAAGAAGCTCGGTCGCTTCAGAATGTTTCCACACGGAGAGGAAATGTAAACAGAAATGAAATCAACCGAAAATCAGCGGGGATGTATCGATACGAATCCTCCCAACATTCACAAGACAATGGGTTGTTTAACATTACGGAAAACAACTACACGTAGAATTGTTTTTTCTCCACCCCCGTATTAAAAGGTTAGAACTCCAAAGTTAAATGGAAAGAGTATACTCAGGTTTGCTGGCCTTCTTCCTTTACTGCAATAATAGTCACTATTTGTATAAAGGTGGGGAACACTGCCAAACTTTCTTTCCTTTCAAAGTTCAATATTAATTGGTGCAATATCCAATACGAAAAATGCCCATGGTTTAAACTGTAACCCCCCACAGCGCCTGAAAATGGGACCATAAACCTCCAAAAAGACCCAGAATTTGCAGACAGTCGCTGCTCTCCCAGTTACTGTCAGCCGCTTGCTTAAACATCTTTATCGGTCAGTGTGATTGCATGATTGTATAATATAATATAGACAACACGAAGTCAAGTCCAGTGCGAATAGCCCGATGTAAAGCTGTACATCACGCTCAAAATATCATTTCACGGTCTTACATTAATTTCGAGGAATGAAGCAACAGGCAGTGAATTTCTTTCACAGGTCGTTTCATGAGCTAATTTTGCCATGTCCTTAGGTTCGCCGTGTGCACGCGTGGATGAATAGATGAGGTAGTCACACACTACAAATCCTGAGTCCGATTATCATGCATGCAGAACCCATGCCTGCCACTCGAGACTTTGTTTATTGAAACAATTAGCGGTTCACCGTGTGAGATAAACAATTCCTCGAAACCTTATCGTGGATGTGGTCAAACACAGGCACAAAGGACATTTGTTGACCGAGCCGACGACAAGAACCGCCCTTTCATTAAAAGCCTCGGTTTGATTTCATTGATTTTGAACAATGCATTTGGGTGTTTTTATTACCTGTTACAATGGAGGCAGGACACGCCCACTCATTCAGTGTAACCACATGGCATGCGCGCGATTAATTTGATGATATTGGCTGTGTAGCAATTTAATTAATAAGGGAGCATGCTTGGCCTGTCTCAAAAGGCGAGGGCATTATCAGCGTTCAGTCTTCTGGGCCGACTAAGCGCCCATTTATCCCCATTCATAAATACCATTTTGGTCAGAGAATTAAAAGATGTCAATATACGACACACGAATTTCCAAGGAATTTGTTCAAGTGTTTAACTTTCATTTTCCCGAACACCCCCGTCCATTTTATGGTACTTTCCTTGAGCAAGTGGTCCAGAAGAATCTCCTTATATGGACTAGGCACGCGTGGCGAGTTCTGTATGCCGCAGCGTACGCAGACTCTTGACCAGTAGGAATGGATTAAACTGTCTCGTATCCAATCATCTCCATTATAAAGGATGAATGGATCAATACATGCACCAGGTGCAAGCGCCTGTTTACGCAGCAGACATTACAATTTACATGTATTATCAAATCGAAGCGGGCATTATCAAATGTTAATACACAGTCACGTTGCGTGTTGTTGAATAGTGAAATTGTTTAAAGTATTTTTAAATACTGATTATTATTCCGATTAACACAACTAAAGATGTCTAACACAACTCCAATTTGTTGTGTGTGCCAAGAAAAAAAAACAGTAACGCGGACAAAGTGACGTTAATAGTGGCAAGGCAAAATGCTATAGTTAGCATAAACCGGTATTCCGTGACACAAACGGATTGACAGAAAAACAGGAAGAGCCTAAAAGCTCATCGGAAACGGACTACAGGCGTATACATACAGATCAGAATGATCATTGTGATGTGAAAGGAAAGGTTCCGTGTAATTCTTTAACTGCAGAACATCACCGTGCAAACCTCAATTACGTTGGCGCACGTGGACCGGAAGGAACATACCAAGACCAGACGTGCTCAGAGCCGACACCATTGTCTGGTACCAGAGAATGATTTGAAATGGTAGCAGAGTTAGAACAATCATATCGTACAATCTTCTTGCCCTTGTAATGTAAGGTTGTTTTGATGACTCAAAAAAGTTGATTCGCACCTTTTGCGAGTTTCGACTCTCATTTCAAACCTCAGTCAGTCAGTTGATGAAAGTTGTCGTTTGAAGCTTTCTCGACAAGACGTCAGTTCTTGACAGGTTTAGGGTTGCAAAATGAGAAATTAAAACGGAGATGGGTCAATCAGAGGCTAGCTCTGTGGTAAGCTCCTCGCTAACACGACGGGCAGTAAAGCGTTGATTTGATATCCATTGTGGAATACAAACTGACTAGAAAGTGTGAGCCGTGAAGGGAACAATTCAAAGTGAATGTGCGTGACAACGGAACCGTGTTTGCACGTTTGTGGTTTGCTGGTAGTGATTATTCAACTTCCCACCGTCCGTGGCTGGGGGATTAGGATTTCTGGTATTAGGTACTGCTATTTGGACGGGTTCCTCTCGTCCTTTCGTAATGACAAATGTAATGTGTGTGTGTACTTCTCTGCAAGACTTGGCACCCTTGTTTCCTCCCGGCGATTGTCAAGTTTCAACAGGAGCACTCATGACAAGACATGAGTATAACCCAGCCAACCACAAGGTGTTGTTCCGTTGCTTCGCACCGCGTCAGCCGCGCTCGAGCTATTCGGTCTTGAGAGCCGCGGCTTCTTGGCTGGTAATCCCGGGGTCTATAACGTCAAATGCCCCCCTTATCTAGTCCCATGGTGTATCTTGCCAACCCTTAGGCTGGAGCTCGTGAACCCAGCTGTGGCATCTTGACAGCTTGGCCATGCCCTTCCTCCGTGGATATTCCTAGCTGTGGGGTCCTCGGATGCGAGGGATTGGCAAGTTGTTATTGGAAGACAGGACAACACGGTCTTCCAAACAACACTTTCTCAAACATCCGATACGATGAAAGATCGAGCCAGACAGACGTCAGCATACTTTTGGCATTGGAATATTCCAAAATCAAATATTATGTTATTCTTCCCGAAAAAAAGCCTAGTTCATTTACAAATTCTAATCTCACTCTAACGTGTCTGTTATTTCTCATATATTTACTTTTTAACTTTATATATTTTGTTAGATATATTATTCCATTCAACTTTACTTCAGAATTGGTATTTTTTACAGAGTGTAAAATTTTGCAAGCCACGACTGTTGACGCTCATTACAAATCACTAATAACTGCAACCAAATACCTCAAAAACTCGGAAAGTCTCGCGAGATTTGGTGATGCAGAAAGCGTTCTCAACAAGCAACGACGAGTGTTTGTCCTTTAAATGCTTTGCATTGTAGCAATTAAGCCGTCAGAGAGGAAGCTAACGACATCCAATGGGACCAGTTATCACCTCATCACCACAATCGCATCATTAATTAAGCCTCCTATTACATGTGAAACCCATTACGTCGCATCAGTCATAGCGAACTGCGTCACGCACGAAGTATTTGTATGTCTCTTGAACTGCTATGCCTAACCCGGTGTTTATTTCACAGCACTAAAATGAAAATAAACTAAAAATACCAACACCATATACAACTTGATATTTGATTGTTTTTATCTTTTATCTTTCATGCGGTATGTTGGGAGTGCCAGCCAGCCTTGAAGACGCAAAGGAAGTCTTTTTGATAAGGAATAAATAACAAACAAGATCAATTCCATTTCATTTTATGAGCTATGTGTTTTTGAGAGAAAAAAGATAATTCAAATTTTTGGGCGTGGTCTTCAGTCATGTGGTCTTCAGGTGAACTTCTGAAGAATGCACTGCATGCACTGAGATATTAATTTCCTCAGAATCATTCATTTCAAACTAAAAAGTAAAGCTAAGTAGTCAACTTTGAATGAAATTTTAAATGTGGCCTTCATGAAAGAAGAGTCTTCTATCATAAAGCGCATGTCACAACACAGGCAAAAATACAATCACGTGTGGGGTTAAAACTTTCCACAGGTTGATACTTCGTGCAAATTTTAATTCATACCCAATCGCTACTGAGTACTTCTGCCAGTGTCGGTGTAAAACTAACACCAAAGCTAACCAAAGTACATGGAAGGTTACTGCATACACGTGGTACAAACAAACTTTGAAAGGAGTTCACCTCAACGCAAGTAAATAAATCATAATTGATATATACAAGCGTTATGCCTAGAACTGTGGGGTCCGACGCGACGTCCGCCCCGTTCTTGGGAGCGGGGCGGACTTCAGACCTCAACAGTTCTGGGGATATACAACATGTCACCCTTTTCACATTCATTATTAACATGATTAACCATGGAGGAATAAATTAACCAACTGTTATTATACACCCATGTTCACGACTAAAAAAATTATGTTCACAATCCTTCAATGTCCATGCTTCGGTTGTACGCTGTGTATTTTTATTATGGGCCTAGCAAACCCAATTTTGACAAGTTCAACCGCTGGCATGGCTGGACAAAATACAAATAAGAAGATTTCCGTGCCACTGTACTTACCCACAAGAAGCAAAGGCAGATACCTCGTGCTGAGGACGCACGTTGCCATCTCTCAAATGTCCCACGCCACGGTAATCGCCTAGCCAGTCGTCAGTCCAAGACAAGCGTAGCTCCAAAAATGGCCAAGCAATTAAAAGTCAATTTGTCCGGGGAATACGCACGGGTCGTCTGACGCAGCCGGGTCCAGCTGTTGCCGTGGATGGTATGTTGCTGACTTGCCTTAGTTTTGTACAGTGGTTGCTAGAATCCTTGGGACTTGTTGTGAAAGATTCACTCTCTGCCTTTCCCTGGCTTTTTGACTGTTCGTTTGTCTTTGTCTAACGGTCCGCTGGGAATGCCGCCGAGGCAGACAAAAAGCAAAAATCCACAGTTTATAGTTCTAATGCATTCTTCAAAGAATGATGAAATGCCTTAAGAATCCCTCGGCAATGGGTATGCCTCTGGAGATGCGAGCCAACCAACAGGCAATTAAGCGCGGTTTTCAATTCAAGACGGCAACAGTAGTGTTCAGGAGACTTTGTTGCACCCGTGGTCGATTAACAAAATCAGGGCATCGCTGAGGTGATTCGATCACTCGCACAGGTACGTCGAAATATCTGGTAAAAGCTGGATTTGAGCACCAGGGTCGATCAGGGAAATCCAAGTCTCACCTTGTCTGGCAAACTCAAGTCCCTCGTGCCTAGGACCAACTCAGCCGTGTCAGCGCAAAGACAGATCTACCGGTGGTGCGTATGCAGAAGGCCCCGCAAGTCGACTAGTCGTACTGGCAACAAGACCGAATCCTGTCTGTGGCACGCAGTACCGCAGCGTACTGAGCAAGCTTAATGTTCTGGCGCTAATGGGCATAGTGAGGGTGGAGTTTTCCACCACTTATGGCAGCGTACACATGACCGATGTTTATACCACATGGTCCACGTGGCCGCGCGCTGTAAGACTGTCAAATAATGACAACCTGTCACAGACAGAGGCCGGTCTGTCAAACACTTTTGGACATTCAAGGGGCTCGCGGGGTTTGGACAAACTGCTTTTCCCGTGTTCTCTTCTATTATGCTCTCTGTCAAATGGGGGATATGAAGGGCCTCGTGTGGGATGTGCCAATTGCTCCCTTGGGATACGATCTTCGCTTTGCCGATTTTTTATATAAATTCGTGGGAATTTTACCTCACTATAAATGATTCGCGATAAAAGGTTCCAGAGGGCGCCCTCCAGTTATACTCATAAACACGAATGCTCAGAAGAAATTATTTCTAACCCTTGATCTGTGTTTTCTTGGGGAGAAAAAGGAGGTACTTAACAATCTGTTTAGTCTTACAGAGTCCTCCGTTGCTTCATTTCTCCAGAGTGTAAAAAACGAAAGTGATTCACCTGGTTTGCATAGATATAGTCTTTTCGTATAAAGAATCAGTAGCATTTTAATGACTAACCATTAAAGTAATTGTTAGTCATTAAAGTGCTACTGATCCTTTATATTTGTATTCTACCTGACTGACACGGCTACCCACCACTATAGTCTCCTCGTTCAATCGTAGTTCCAGTTCCCCCCGTCATGTGTTTGTAAGTCATGAGTCATGAAATTAAGTTTCAAGCCTTTCCCCGGGGCGATAAAAGTGAATTATCTTTTATTAGACTTCTACCCAGGGTTAGTGGAATGCCAATTCTATTGTGTGCTGTAAAATTCATGGAATTCGTGAAGGCATAAATCTTTAGGCGTCCAGACTCGCGCTGAAGTCAACGATAAATAGTGAAATTGTAGTCCTTCAACGGTCAGGATATAAAACCTGCCATAGATACATGTATTGCAGGTCTTGTTTTTCACTTTCAAATTTCAGCTTATGGCAACCAAAAATCTCGCAAATTCTCACTCTGAATACAGAATTCACTTCAAAGTCCCAAAAGGTCGTTTACACATGTTGAGAACACATCGTGAACGGTGAAGATGTATGCTGGAAATTGAAACGAACAACACTATAGTCCTACTGTGCCCTGTCACATTCATGGCTCCAAAAATTCTTTTAAATGGATCGAGTATTTTGCCTATCACTCAGCTCTGGGGAGTGCCGAACATCCTCTTCGCGACGCCTTCGTCCGACGTGACCTAGCTTTAGAACCGCTAAGGGGACGCCGACGGGCCCAGCAAGCGAACAAACCACCGCTACCAACCTGCGGTGATGAAGCCTTGGTGAGACAGGTCAGCCCACGCGGCCCAACCCAACGCTCTCCGAGTCGAACCCCCGTTAAGAACTGGCATGGCCTTCCGGAATTGTTGGGTAGAAGGACCTAATCAAACTCAGCCACTGACAGGCTAGAGATAGCTGCATAAATTGGGACTTGTTTGGGTGTTACTTTTTCACTGAAAGGATTAAAATCAAACTTCTTTAAATTAATTAACACGACGAAAACTTCTTAAACACCGTTTGTTTTTCAATCTCGTGATGACACTGAATGGAGACGTGCACAGTTATTTTCCCTGCAGAAAACGGACCTTTAATGCCTACATCTAAAAACACAGCTCGTAAAAGAGAAATTATGAGGTTCCCAAGAAACTCTGGACGTACTCCAGTCAGGATAAAGAGTTGCTGAGATCTTTGCAAATACAAAATCAGATTGAAAGATGTCAACATTTCAAAATAAGATATCGGAAATCTGTAGTTGACATGTAGTTGACATCTGTGTTTCTTCCCCACACAGTAAACTTTCAGTGATAACACTTTTTCTCCCCTCTGCTTGCAGTTTCCATCAATCCACCGAAGAAACGCCAAATTCAGTGGTTTTACCTAGAAAACTGAAATGACTAATGTCTTTGCTATCGCCAAACCCAAGGCCGGTGCCCCCGCACTAAAGTTTATCAGAACACATAACAACGGCTTGAATCGAGTCTACAGATGGTCCTCAGCTCCCTTGCTCATCCATTTTGGTCAAGCACATCAGTAGGCGTTGGAGACGAACTTACACACCTGCAATAACAACTTGTTGGGTGGTGATAGATAGTGGTGGAGCTGAACTTAAGTCAGCGTGTACGAGGTTAAAGGGAACAAAGAAAATCAGGGTGACTGGGGCTGTTCGCGTGTTGACCTTGCTTATCGGCCGCGGACGAAAATAAAGTTGTACATAAATGATGAATGGCAGGTTGTATAACTATGAACACTGTTTGCGATGAGCTCCTTTTGGACCGCTTCCCTTCGAATCACGTCTATACGGGGCTAACCATTTCCTTTTTGTTTGCATTGATATTTGCCTCTCGTTTACAGAAACGTGGGTAGCTCACGTTCTCGCAAAACGTTTCTGCTACGGGGGGAAACTTTTGCAGAGCCATGTTCAACAAAGCCATGCTCTGATCTCACACTGAAAGATCGGACATGGCAACTCGGAGGCAAAACGGGCAGGCAACGCTGTTGAAGTTTTGTATGCAAAAACTGTGGTGTGAAATCAGTTTTAAGTTAGCACCCTGGGTGTAATCAGAGGACTACACCAAGTCTAGTCTGGTGTAGCCATCTAATAACACTCATGGTGTTAAACTGCCAACAGGGTTTTTGCAGTATGTACACGTTGCTCAACCTGACGCCTAGCATATAGCGTGAATCACAACATTTGTAAGGATTTTTCAACGATTGTCTCCTACGTCATGTGTTTTATTCCTCCATGGTCATATGATCAAGTATCTGGACAAGCACCTACTTCTTTGTTTCAGAACCGAAAACTGTAAAAGCCAGATCTTATGGTTTCAGTCTGGTTCCGCACTGACTTACGTCCGGTCTCTAAGAAGGCCGGCTGACTGTACAGACAACCCTGTCTAGTGTGGTTTCCGCATTTTGTGATGTTGGGACATGTGTCTAAGCACCGTTATTTACCAGCCAATAACCATCTGGTCAGAGTGTCTTCATTCATGCACATCACAGGACATTCGTGTGACCCATGTAACAATTACCAGATGTCGTAAAATCGCTATTAAGTAAAGCAAAGAAATTATATGACTGAGGCACAAGAAAAACGGCGAGAGCTGTCGAAAACAGAACCGAGCTTAAATTGTGATTAACATTCAAAGTAAATTAATGAAAACATGAAAGGGTCTTTGTGAACGAAAATTAAACTAGGCCTACAAACTTCGGAGCAGATTCTTAAAATAGCCAACAAAATGTCTCGTAAACCATGCAGTAATTTTCTGGTTTCACTTCGAAAGCTGTTCTGGAAAGCAATGGTTCCGTCCTTGTATCCTTCAAGCTGTACTCTATATCTTCATCCACATGACTCTAACATTGTTGGTGGTCCTGGAGTAGAAAAACAATCGAAATAACAACACCATTTATGAGCATTATTTTTCCATGCACATCCATGTTTTCTAGACTTCAAGATCACCAACCTTGGGATGTTTGTGACAGACGATAGTGAGGGCGCGCTTTCATTTGAACGAGTGAAGCCCAGCGGCTCAGATAGACAACTATTGTTTGACTACCAGCCACTGCTGGTAGCTACGGACAAGCAACACGTACACTTACCAACGAGACGTGACCCTGTTTCCATCTTGAACATTGGCGCTATAGTCGTTGCAAGATGTGTGAACAAACTCGCCAGTATGGTGAGGTCCGCCCCCGAAGCGCAACCTCGTACTCTGTCCTACATTTCGGTAGGAGTTCACACATCCATAGAACATCCTGCTCCAATCGCCATTAGTCGACAGAAATCCATCAATCATGGCGTAACCACCTGGAATTTAAAATGGAAACGCATTGCTTGAACGGGTTTTCTGCCAAATTGCAAAATTGAGCCCTAGAATCTTTTTCTCCAGTGCTCTGTCGTCTCAATCTCGTTCCTATCGTCACGGTCTTGCCACGCCGATGTTGGCTCCGTCCCATCCCACTATAGATATCTTGGATGTTCGTACACGCACGGAGCATGTGCATAGGAATAAGAAGCTGCTCGTCTTATGCAAAAGTTCCCAACCACCGTTTTAAGATCATCTTTCCTATTACACTATTACTTTTTAAATTTTTCCATTCATTAACCCCCATCGTAACATTCCCAAAAATCCCGGCGGTTATTCATAGGCCAAAAGATTAGGCCGTGATGATTGACATTACGTCATACGCTATTTTTAAATGCAGGAATACCTATCTGTCTTGAACCAGTACACGTACATGTGCAACATTAGGGGGATGAGGAACCCGGGGGATGGGGAACTCGTCTAAATATTATCTCTTCACCTGCGTAAGCCTGTGACCAATCAGTGCCCGACGGCGTTTGGCACTTGGCCAGGTTTGCAATGACGTCAGCGTAGGAAATACCGAGATTTGTAGAGCTGGTGCAAGGTGAGTTACCACACACGCGGAAAGACTCGAAAGCCCACGAACTGTTCTCCAGAATCCACGAGTTTTCCGTGTTAATGGTGGCGACGTCATCGCTCACTGCAAACGCGGTGACGTTGTCCAAACCCAGGCAGGTGATTAGCTGACCCGTCCATGTAAACTCGCTGTACGTGCGACAAGTTTGGGCGCCAGATTTGTAGTAGACCCTACAGTGAATTAAGAAAAAATCAGGTATGCAGACTTATCAAACTATCCAAATAGTATTCATAGGCACAAGTGAAATGCAAGCAATTTTATGAAGACCATATAACGAATGTCTGTTGTTCGTTCTTTGCATCATGAACCAAACAAGATGCCCCTTTCTCACCTCATCCAACCCCCTCCGTTCGATTCTTGGTCACAGTCTGTGAGCGACGGGGAAAAAAAGTGAAAAACGTAACATTAATACAAGGTTAACAAAATCTTTTTTTGGACATGAAAAATATGCAATGGAAAACGTACCAGGATTGTGGACTAATTTGAAATATTTGGGAATAAGGTTAGAAGGACTTAGCGCACAAATGTCTTGTGCCATTCCTCACGAAGAAAAATTGGATCACTGCACTGTACCAAATAATTGTGGCCGGAAGCCACTATTGATTGAAAAGGTCTCCCATGTCTATTCCTGCGAATGAGTCGGTCGAGAATACTATTTTGGTGTCTTTCGAATTAATTTCCTTGCCCGGAATAGCACTAGAAGTCCTTGTTAGCTGAAAAAGCAACCCTGTTTTTATAATAGCGCCCTCAACCCTGCCAATGCGGCTCACGCTCAGGACAGAGGGGCTGGAAGAGAGGGTAGTTTCCAAACGTCAAGTCCGACGTGTGGAACAAGCGATGGACATCAACAAACCGATCACCAGAGGTGATTTTAGGTCTGAAAGGAAAATTTACCTGGTAAATGAAACTTAAAAAGAAAAATGTATTAAAAATGTATTCAAAACTCATTTTTCTTGAACGGATTGCAAATACGCGATTAATGTTGGTCAACTGTTTGCGGCATCGTGAAAATCGATCACACCGGATTATTTGAAGGTGGATGGGGTGGTGTGCCTTTCTAGGTTGAAGTTGAAGGGGTCGGAATAAGAGGGCTCCCCGGAACGATAACGGTAACTCACACACGTCTATAGGGTCGAAAGAAGCTCCACCGCACGTAGGCCTAATCTTGTAATACCCGTTACCGTGAGATCGACCAGCCTGCACGTAGGCGTGACAAGAAGCCAGAACTTCATCAGTCAAAGGGGGTACTGAAATAAAGAGTAAGATTAGAACATGATCAGAATAACATGACAATGCAATGAAGTTTTTAATCTTCTTACCTGGGCATAATGGTCTTTGGAATGGCCTACTTTAATCAGAACTCCTGTCCATGTCAGAGCTTTATATCTTCATAGGTCTTTGAGTTTTTTACATTTGTATTTTTTGGGGGGTGACTTCTTCCCCTATCCAGTTCATAAACCATCTTGAAGAACCAGTCCAAATCAATCACAGATTTAATTTGAATAGAAACGACTATACGTTTTATGGTCACACTACTGTTTACCGCTGCGCCCACTGCCTGATGAAGGTGCATCCTCTACTTACCACACTGACACTTCGCAAAAACTTTGAAAGCATCCAGTTGATCCTTGAAAGTCTCGAGTTGCCTGTACAACGGCTGGAGAGCAACGTCTAAGGCGGAGGGATTCGAGGCTTCCCCTCCAGCATGAGAAATACTGAGCTGGGTCGCCAGGAACAAGCTAGCCATGAGGAAATACTTCATCTCCATGTTTGCTGTCGTTGGAATCCAACCTGCCTTTGTCATCCCGGGCTGTGACTGCACGTTTAAATACCTGGTGTGTGTATTTTATTGACTTTTGACCTGCTGTCGCACCGAACACGGAACTAACTGCAGAATGTTTACGTTAACGTAGGCCTGTTCATGGAAAATGACACAAACTGTATTAACACAAATACTCCTTTCCATGGAATGATGGTAACAAAATCCTGGTTAGTGAGAATAAACTCAAGTAGCCTGGATCCGGATTACTTTTGTATATTTTCCGGTCCTCCTTCCCGATACCAGGCACAATATGTGGGAAGGGGGGACCCCCCCTAAGGTGATGCACAAGCTGTATACCCGAAGGCTATTGTGCCTACTGCACCCCCCCTCGAAAATCTGAAAGGAATTCCAAAGATTCCATCGACACAAAAGGAAGACACAATAGAGGGGGGTCCCCCTTTCCCACATGTCTTGCATCATATGCTCCCTCCCCCGATAAATGAGGGTATACGCGCTTGCACGCACATGTACAGTACAGGCACGCATAAGCTGCTTCGTCTTAGCACTGCAAACTCCTCAAAGGGGATATACAGTTGCAGGTGTGTCGTGGCCAGTCTTCTTCTGTGCACATAAAACG